TGACTGCCAAATTTGCTGGGTTCACAAAGGGGGTTTTTTTTTTTTTTTTTTTTTTAGGGGGAGTGCTGAGAGAGGAGGGGAAAATGTCTTACAAAGGATGTAATACTCTGTTTTGTAGAGTGTGATTTGTTATTGCTCTAGCAATAAAGAGAAAAACAATGTTGGTGTATTGCCACTCTTACAGTATTTCATCATCTTCTAGGACTAATAGCACAGCCTTTAGCAAAAAATAATACTTTGCTGCAGTTTTACTCATGTCAATATATGCTTTTGAGTACATTAAATTCAGTGTGGAATAGTTAATTCAGGACCTTGACCCATACTTGCTTTCTGAAATCATTCTAGCTCTTAAATTCTTATAATAAGCCAGAGGCTAGTACTTGAAACCTATTCACAGTACACTGCAACACTTGTTGAGTCAAGATTTCCGTGTTATCTTCTGCCCTAGAATTTTTCATCTTTTGGTCTGCACTTCACAATCAAGATTATTAGTACCTACGCAGAAAGAGACCGTGTCTTAATTTAGGAGTTATGTGACAGTAATGCTATTGCACTGCTCAGAAAGGGGTCAAAGCAATGTTCTTGCTGTTCTGCTTTGCTAAAAAATGAAGGCATGTCTGTTTGCAACCCACGGGAGAGTATGCTTGCAAGAAGTTTTGAAACGATGTTTCAGCACTGGATGGAAAAGCAGCTGCGGAAGTGTCTTAGATAAAAGCTGTAGGGGAACTAGACAACCTTTCAGTTTACTAGGAAAACCCTTGTAATTCTGATTTTTAAAGTAGACGAAGCACTTCAGAACAGAAAGTGAAACAGAAGTTGGGATGCTGAATTAGTTTTTTTTGTAATTGTCTCCAAATCCTGATAGTTGGAGACTGAATTATATTTGAGGATACCACTAAATGAGAGAAGTTCAAAAGCCAAAATATATTGATATATTTATGTTTCTAAAAACGGTTAGAATATGTGTGGTAAATTGCAGACTAGAAGTTATTTGACTTTCACATGCCACGTTCGCTTAAACCTCTCTGGAAAATAGAATTTATAAAGGAACTCTGATGGAAACAGGGTTACCAGGAGCGGGCACGATTATCATATTTTTTATGGCAGAAATATGATGTGCCAACTTAGATAACAATGTGAAAACAGCAGAGGATTTAGCCATGCAGAATTCTGGTGGAGAAACATGATTTTTAACCTTACTTTGGTCAACCTCTCTAAAATTGCCTTTGAGGGGAGAGGGTCATTTTTAGTTAGGTTTAAACTGAAACTTTTTGTTCAGCGCTATTCCAGCATGGAACGTGTTAACTGTTAAAACAGGTTTTGTATGACAATTTCACATCCCGGTTTGAAACAAAACTATGGCAATACGCTTGGCTGTTTTGTACATATTTTTTTTTAGAAAATTTCTAAAAGAAAAGTGATTTTTTTTTTAATGTCAATTTGTAGAATTCAAAACTAAAAGGTGTCAGGCTGCCATAGTTTATTCTGTAATGGTCACAAGCTGCCCTGCCTCCTCAAACAGGAGTGTAAGGGCGATAATGCATACCGATCAAGTACTTAGTAGCTGCTGGGTCCCAGTATAATATTGCTTGGCTGTTTTGTTGAGGTTTCACACATATACATAAAAATAACAGCATTTTTAGCTGATCCTAATAGATTTTCTCTGCAGCTGCATCACTTGAAAAAGGCTTTTTGTTCCAATTCTTGAAGTCTTAAGTATTGCAACCAATTTTTTTTTAATCTCAATTATGATTTATGTGTTGCGATGACTTTAAAGGCTTGATTGGTCTACAACAGTGCTTTGAAAAAACAAGAAAATGTGCCTAAGAAAAACACCGGCAGTTCAAAGCTGAATATTGAGCATACAGTTGTAAACTCACATGGCACATGGCTGGGTAGGTTTTTTTGGCAGACCCATAGTCTCAACCTGCAGTGATGCTAAAGATATTAGCAAATTAGCACTGCAAAGCTTGCCAGCATATTCGCCAGAGTCCTGCTCATGCTCTCACTGCTGTAATTAAAACTAATTATTTTCTAAAACATAGTAATACATGAATATGTGCAATAATCATTTTGTAGTGGGCAATCTGTGAAATATTTTTAAAGCTTTTTTTCCCCCTCCTCTCTTTGGCTTGTTACACAGTGTGCCTACTGCCTAGTGTGAGCCAGCATTGTCATTTTGCAGAAAGGCAGACTAGTTCAGTAATGATCAGGTTTATATATATATACTTTTTAAGCAGTGATACTTTACCGATTCTAAAAAATGTGTAAGTTTTAGATTTTTTTTTTTTTTTTGCCTCATAGGTTTTTTTGTGTGTGTCCTTCCATGTTTTTCTTATCGCAAATCTTTCTTTGAAAGAAGACCATGCTGGGGAGAAAAAGAGGGAGAGGAAGGGAAGAGAATCCAGTCTTTTGTAAATGCTGTGCACATAGTTTTCTGCAGGAAAAAAAAAAATCACCCGGCGTCTTGCTGTTGTTCTTTGGCTATTTGCATTGATTCAGTGACAGAGCACCTCCTAGGATCTGCTCTGCTGGGTATTTTCTGTGTATTTACCTGAATGTTTCTTCTTGCATCTTTTTAGAAATCGAGGAACCCAGCAGCTCTGCAGCAGTAACACTATACTTAGCACTTGCATCTTCAAATAAAAAAAACTCTTAAACTCCTCGCACCCCTGGGAAGCGACTGTGGGCTATTATCTGAGACAGACGCTTGCACGTTCGTTATAGTCCCACCTCGTTTCGGCACGAGAGGGGAAAGCTGAACGCCGTTTCCCAGCAGAGCAGGGTTTGCAGCTTGTACTTGTGTAGTGAAGGTTCCCAATAGCTGAGGAGTTTGTCCTGGAGATGGCAGAGGCAGTAACTGATCTGTGGGACATCAGCTTTAACACAGAAGCATAATTGGGTATTTCAGGCTTTTCCTCGGTTTCAAAATTGGGAGCAGAAGCCGTTTGGTTTTGACTTATGTTAGTCTGTAAATAAGGGGAAAGCACAGTAGTTACTAAAATAGACTGTTGTCCTCTTAAAAGGTGTAATGGTCATATCTGTAGACAGTTGCAAAGACCGTTGGAAACATAGAAAGCGTCTTTCACTTTGTAAAAATTTGTTGTTGTTGTTGTTGTATGGTGCTTGTATTCTTCCCTCTTTGGTTTTCCTTTACTTCCTCCCTTCAGCTGCAGCGGTTTGCAGGTTTCCAGCGCTAGAGTAAAAGGCCAGAGGTGGGGGAACCTGCGCTTCACGTGTCGGCAGAGCCCCGCCGCGGGAAGCGGTTTTTCCTGCAAAGCCAACCATAGTCATGCTTAACTGTTTCTCCTGTTTTCGATTAGCACCTATGGGTCTTGCAGATATGATGACACCCGGTGAGTCCAAACTCCCCCTTCCTCTCAAAGCAGACGGCAAAGACGAAGGAGCCCCGCAGCCCGAGAGCAAGGCAAAGGTATTTACCTCCTCCGCACGTGGTGTTGGTTCGGCCCGCAGAAGTCTGCTGTGTTGTCCTCCATCTTCTGGTTTTGGCCTACCCACTTCCGTTCTCTCCTGCATGCCTTTCCATTCACGTGCAATCTATTTGTTTGTTTCTTTTCTTTTCTTTCTTTTCTTTTTTTTTCTTTTATTTTTCCTTCATTGTGTGGATCTGAAAGTTACTAGTTCTTACGGCATTTTAACTTGCGGGGGCAAAGCGACCCAAGCCAAAAGTTGCGTGGGGATTTGGCTGTGCCAGGTGGGTGGGGAAGAAGGGTCTTGCCTGGTTTCGATACTTGCAGCCATTTTTCTCTGCCTTCAGTTATAGCTTCCTGTTTTGGCCGCCTCAGCAGCAGCAACATACTTTAATATTTTGCTTTCTTGCCTTATTTGATAAAATAAGGTGAACAGCTTGTTTTTTTTCTTTCTTTCATAAGGGGAAACCCATGCTTAGCATTCCATGTGAGCTTGAAATAAGCATGGTGGCTTAGTGACTTTAGCCAAGCATCCAGCAAACTTTCCAAATTATACTAATTAACAATGTTGTTTTATTTCCTTTTATATATATATATAAATATATTTATATATGTGTGTGTTTTCTGTATGTGTCTCTCTGTTTATATATATTTTATATATAAAAAATTGGTCAGTCTGTTAAACTGGATGTATTTTTTTTGTTTTTAATAAAGTTTGTCCTGCCTTTGTCATATTATTTTTTTTTTTATTCCTCTACCACAGGATAGCTACAGCTCTCAGGGTATTTCTCAGCCCCCAACCCCAGGCAACCTGCCAGTCCCTTCCCCAATGTCCCCAAGCTCTGCTAGCATCTCCTCATTTCATGGAGATGAAAGTGATAGCATTAGCAGCCCAGGCTGGCCAAAGACTCCATCAAGCCCTGTAAGTGGCTCTGGTTTTTTTGGTTTTTGTTTATTTTTTGTAATTAATTATATTTTAATGCTTGCTTGTTTGTTTTATAAATTCCTTTTCTTCATTATTTATCCACTAAACAGTTTTCTTTCTTTATAACACTTGGGTACAAATTCTGCTCTCGGACACATGACTGTCAGTTCCACTGCCTGGCTTCAGTGGGGCCCGAGCATGCTCAGCCAAGGGCAAAATTTGTCCCAACAGTAATTTTGAAATAAGAAAGAGTAAAATTGCGTGCATCATGCCAAGTGTGCTGTCTGGTAATACAGCAGTTGTTGTGAAGAAAACATCCTTCCTGTAATGCATCAGCTTCCAAGCATGCCGACTGTGTTGTTAAGGACGATTCCATTGCTGTTCCTGGGCCCAAACTCCTTCACACAACTGACTTCACTCTGTTTGCTGCACTTGTCTTTGCTAGTGTTGTTTAGAAAAAAACAAAACAAAACAAAACAAGTAATCTTCTCCCCTACTGAAACTAAGTTCTGTCTGTCAAAGTTTGAATTACAGGCTCAGCACCACGGAAAAACTGTCATGTATGTTTTGGAAACATTTTTAATTCTGAATTGTGCGTTTGGAAATACAATTACTAGGTTATCAGGGCACAGTCAAATAATATTGTTTCTGATATGCTTCATTCACTTAATTTGAAAAAAACCCAAACTGTGGGTGATAAAAACCTCTTGTATTTACATTTTTAGAAAATTGCTTTTTGAGATGAATAATGTTTAGTCTGTCTGGTATAGGTTATAAAGAAAAATCTGTGTGAGATGCATGGAGCTAAAAATAAATGTTTTCAGATATAAATATACACACACACACATATGCATACATAGAAAATCTGTATACATACGTGTGTGTGTGTGTGTGTATAAAAAAAAGAGAATGCAAACATAGCCATATGTGGCCTATGGGGAGCAAATGTCCACTTGATCATTTTTGCTTTGTTTTTTTGAATTAGGAAAATATATGTTGTTCCTCTTCTTTTCTTTTTAGTAAAAGTAATAATGGTCATAATTTCACTTTAGCAAAATACTGCAATATATAAAGGTTTTTTTCCAATGTTAATGTGCGGTTAACGTGGCAACAATTCTTGATACATTGACAAGTATGTTTCAAGGGAAACAGAGGAAGGCCATTTGGAGGGCAAAAAGGTCTACTCTTCCAAAAATCAGACGTCTAGTGAATCCCCCAAGCAGAGGGGTAGCATGACATAAAATGCACCCCCTTAATTTTGATGTTTATTTGGCAACGACTTTGAGTCTCAGAAGGCAGCTGGTGTTACTTGTTCCCACAAAGTCCCATCTTCTCTTTTTTTTCTAAAGCATTTCAGAAAGGGTGGTACCAAAAACTGGGTTTGTTTTCTTTTTAGTAGTGTTTAAGGTATTGTTTCTTTGCAAGGTTTCCTGGAGGAAAGCAAGAGAGCTATTGCACAGGCTGTCTAAATACATCCAGTTCTTCTAAAAGGCGCTACCAAGTGGTAATGCATTCCTGAGCTCATTGTATGAACCGCTTAACAAATCCGAGAGCCGTCATGAACTTATGTGGAGCTTTTTCCATTTAAATGCGACAAAATACAGCACTGGAATATATAAATGGGGAATGTTTGTGCTTTCGTTTTTCGAGCCCTTTTGAATGCCGTTCTCTTCAAATGCTGTTGCATCTTTGGCTTCCGTTAGCTTCTCAGTACATGGAAATGGGTAGATACTGCGCTTTAAAGTGATAGCAAGATAAGTGCTGTAAATTAGCTAATCTCTTTTTACCTATGAAGGCCAGCATATTGGATAACTTCATCGACTTCAACAGCTGTCTGACATAGGCTGGAACGATTGATTGCTGGCATTTGGTTACGCTTGAGAAAAGCCTAAATTTGTTCATTCCTTTATTAAATTCTGAAGCTGCTTCATGTGCCACAACTTCTCCTTTCTAGCAGTGGATAAAAGCAAGGATGAATGATCTGTCATTCACTTCACAGTATCCCTGGGATCCTAAGTGGATCCTCTCTTTCAGTGTTTTCTATACAGAAGTGAAATGAGAAAATGTAGAGAAGGAATTGCTGAATGTTATGTTTTGAGGGCTCTTCAGGTGTATAGGGAAAAGGGCACTGTTTTGCTATGCTAATTCTATGTATAATGTCCATCCCTGGTAGAGGAAAGGTGACCCTGAATTAATTAAAAGAAGATTTGAAAGTGTGGGTATGCACTGCACAGGGTCACTGCAACATGAATAGCACAGTAGGTTATGAAAACCCCATAAAATGTTGTTCATTGTCCTTTTTTGTACGTGGACTACACGTACACTAGAGGCAGCTGAATAGTACTGTATAACGACAGTGCTGGCTATGAGGGGGTCTGCAGAGTCCTTCAGGAAAAAATCTTGACGGAGCATTTTCTCCTGCAAAAGTTTCTGTCAGAGATTGGACTTGGGCTGCTTTTTTGTTGCCTGCGTGCGCACACCTTGTCCTGCAGTGAAAAAGGCCGATATAGGAAGTGTAGTATTGGTAAATTCTTTATTATGGAGGTGAATATTAGATAGTTCTATAAATACAGATTATCTACAGAAACAACTGCCTTCTGCTTTAAAGCAGAATTTCCTACAGAAAACTTTGTTGTTCTGAAGGATTCTGTAAACTTACCATACAAGACTATGGGGGACTGAGGGCAGAGTAAGCTGCAGCTAAATTAGTAAAGGTATGTGCAACAGGCTTGCACCAGCATGCTCTTATCACCAAAATTATCAGCGAACCTTACTGAAGAAAAGCTCATGATCTGCATTCTTCCAGCATAGCCTGGCATGTATCCGTTTTTAGCAGTCTGTTCATGGGATTATAGACGGGCTTGCACACATCTGTCATTTTTATGTATTTAAGTTTATAAAAATACAGAAGAGGAAAAGATCTTTACTCTTGAGGAATAGCATTTTTCCCTCCAGTGCATTCTTCTAAAGTTAACATTTCATTTTAGAAGAAAATTGTGCCCATTTTGCAAAGCATGACAACCTGAAAGCTCACACAGTAAGAAACCCTTCTTACCTTCTGTAAGCTGTGAAAAGTTTTCAGATTAGACTGTCATTTCAGAGCTTGCTGCAACACTGCTGAAAAGCAACATCATTTGAGACGTGCAGTAGAAGCACCCAGTATGAAAAATTCTTAACCAGTTTCCATTCTGCTCCAAATTTGATTTTAAAAAGAAAATCCTAGTGTATAAAAGTGAAAACATAAAACTGGTAAATCTGAACGTTCTTTTAATAGTGAACTTGCATAAAAATGAAATAAAAGCTACTCTGTTGCTTCGTACGTTAAATATAAGCACATAGAAAATTTGCTCTCTGAAAGCTTAGAGCTTAAATTGGAATTCTGTGGCATCACAAGGGTGAGATGAAAATTAATGCTGATGAACAGTAGAGTAACTTCGTCCTTACTGCAGTTGGTAATAGGGTAGTTCCAGTTTGTTCAGCTGTTCAAATTTATATGATCATATGTCTGTTCTCATTGCAAATCAAATTTTTAGCAACATGACTTGCCTAATTTGTTTTTCCCACCTGCCTCCAAAAAAATCTTTGACATAGTGTATATGTTGAAAACACGCTGAATTTTGTTTAAAGACACAAATACGTAGAAAGTGCTACTTTGAGTGAAGGGATTTCCATTACAGAAACAGTTTGTGCTTTCATTGCATAATCTACAGGGTTTATGTCAAAGTACTTCCTTGCCATCCATTTAGTATCAGTTAACCAAATTCGGCTTTGACTCTGACTTAAGTAGGAGTTACACCACAACTGAATCCGACTCAAGTGAATTCAAGAGTGTGCCTCATTTCTAAGCAAGGAAGGTAATATTATCTGCCACTAGGAAGGATTGCTGTAAAGAAGTTACAGAATTAGAAAGCGTGGCAAACAACTTTACAGGAGGCTATGTATTTAAATAGAATTAATATCCGTTCACTAGAAGGAACAACAATGGCTCGTGGAAATGCTGGGTCACCCCCTCTTAGCTTCCCATTTCTTCTCTGGCTTTCCTCCAGGGTTCCAAGTTTCAGCTAAAGCCTGTCATGTTTTCCAGGCTAACATGTGCAAGATGAAGGGTGGCAATGCTTTTAAAATCACTCACAGTCAGATGCTACCACACTACATCTCTCATGATGTCAGAGTGCCAGCCCTTGTCAGCGCTATGTGGGGCATGGACAAGTGGGTGGGTCTGTAGCATCCCTGAGGTGCATTTAGAGTCTTGCTTAGAGATGCTCAAATAGAAATAAATTGTTGCTTACTTCAAAATAGTACTGTCTCACGTTCAAAATAAAAGGAAAGGTTACAAAAGGAAAGGGTGATTGGCTAGATGAGTTTGAAGAAGCATCTACTGCAATCAGCAACCCATTCTATGATTTTGCCACACAGATATAAAGAATACGTTTCCTCCTGCAGACCTTCATGTATATGGCTCCTTTCCTAAAGCTTTATATCCGTCTTTGCCCCACTTGTTTTAACTCTGAACCACCCTGTCTTCACTAATGGGCAAATCACTTCCCCTTCAGCAAGATGGTCTTCCTGCAACAGAAGCAGCACATCTGCTGTTAGGTTGGAGGCACTTTAGAGAGCGTGTAGTCTATCCATGTGTGGCAGAGCCCAGCTCACAGGGGTCTACTGCGGAGAAAAGACAAAGTGAAACGTTCCAGCTTGTGTAGCAGCCTCAGTACTTTGTGCAGTCTCCACACTGAGGAGAAAAGGGCATAAAGATAACTTGAGCCTTTGTTAGCTGTAAAGCCAGAATAGAGGCAACAGAATGGTTTCACTCCAGCTATTCTGCGGCATGAGAGAGAATTCTGCTCTTTCCACCTCTTTTGGGTTTCCTGGTGGTGGTTCGGCTCTGGTTGCTGTGCATCCCTGTTTTTCCTCAGGTCATAGTATACATTTTCTCTCCAGAGGTAGGGTATATGAAATGGCTATTCTCTTTCATCCTTCAAGAGAGGAGAGCAGTAACTCATGACCGTGCAGCTAATTGGCAGATCACACAGAGTATTGCCACCAATCTACTTGCACTTTAGCCACTGTTATTCATCTCTCTTTTGGCCAGCGGTGGTGAGAAGAAATAGTAGAGCATGACTGTTTATGACTATCTAAATTGAGCACTACTCTCCAGAGTGCTGGGTTGCCATAATTTATGTTTTAGGCTATTGTGTAATTCTGGTTCTGGTAGAGCAGTTAGATTTTCTAGCATCTTTCTTTTTGGGAAGGTGGAGGGAGATGATTTGGTTTGTTTTTAGGATTTTATAAAGTTGTGTGGGACAAACTTGTTTTTAATGTTGCCCGAACTACTGATGAGAAGCACTATGTGAGAGCTACCTGTTATTAAAATGACATGAGGCAACATCAGAAACTTGCCTTCTGGGATTCAAAGTTCAGCTCCGTGAAATATATAAGAAAATGGGGAGTTTGGGCCCTTTATTTACAAAGCTGAATTTTCAGTATATGGACAGAATGTACTGTTTGTGCCTGAACTAGTAGCCTTCATTCCTGACTGTTGTGTGATAGCTTTAGTTTGTTTGACATCTTCTCTTTTTCAGTGTTGTGAGTTTCTTACTTTCTTCTCCCTCCCCCTCCCGCCCTTCCCCCAACTCTTTTTTTTCTTTTTGCTACTTAGAAATCAAGTTCCTCTACCACAACTGGAGAGAAGATCACAAAAGTCTATGAACTAGGAAACGAGCCAGAGCGCAAGATGTGGGTAGACCGGTATCTCACTTTCATGGAGGAGAGGGGCACGCCTGTGGCTAGTCTGCCAGCTGTGGGCAAGAAGCCCCTGGACCTGTTTAGGCTCTATGTCTGTGTCAAGGAGATTGGAGGTTTAGCACAGGTGAGAAGAAACACTTAAAAGTGAACATTTCAAAAACGTAATATACATTCTTTCTAGAATATTTTCTTCTGGTTACACTGTTACCTTTCAGTGCTGACAACAGAGCAAAGAAAATAGCGCTTCATGATGATCAGGCTGCAATATTTTTCTGGACTGTATTTTGATCTGCATAATTGTGCTAAAAGTGCACAGTTTGAAACAAAATTGACCAGCAATAAAGACAGATTAAGTTGCTATCCATTATGGGAATCCAGTAATACTCCTATGAGGAGAAAGGAGATGGCCACTGGATCAAAGTCATGAGGAAGAAACAGATGATAGGGCTGGAAGGAATGAGCTAAAAGGAAAAGGAGATTTTGAAATCCGTCCTTCTCAGATAGGTGTACTGCCTCTAGGACAATTCAGTTCATCTCTCCTGAGAAGTGGCAGAGAGACACTTCTTGAGACACTGTCCTTTGTCCCAAACCTTTCATCTCTTGAGCGTCTCTATACTGTACGTTTATCCCATAGACATGGACTGTGCTTTCGGTGTTTGGAAAATGCTAACGTGATGTTTTGTTTTGCCTTATAAACATAACGATAACAAAGGAGAGGTGAATGACTTAATTGAGATGAAGGAAAATAAAAACCAGGAAGAGGTGAGAATAAAAACCCCAGTGTTAGAAGACAGGACATACAACTTCTCAGCAAGAGGAATAAGACTACAAGAGTATTTGCTATGTTGCAAATGGGGAAGCTTTAGTTTGTATTACTGGTTAACTGGAACTAGGAATTTTGCAAAGGGATGTGTGGAAAATAACTTACTTAGGGTTCTATAGAACTGACCACCTCAAAGCAGAACCAAATGTTTCCTTGTCTGTATAGCACTGTCAAAAGGGAGAGCAGGAGAATAGCTGTGAAATGGTCAGTAGAAGCCATCTTAGGTTCAGTATTCAGTCATCTCTCCTTACTTGATGTTTGCAAAACATATAGTTTATCCCTTGCGTCAAGGGTATCAGTCTGGCTAGGTGCTGCGACTTGGCTTTTCCATGGATTTAAGAACATTTGTGGATGTTCAGTGTTTTGCAGGATTAGGCCCTCAACATAGATATATAGATAAAAATCTATATATAATATTTAACATGAAAATAGATATAATTTCACACTAACCTACAGAATTCAAACACCAAAATATGGCAAATGAAATTAAATCCTCAGAGCACTTTTAATGATATATCCGGTTAGTTCAGGAAAGACACAACATAAATGAAAACATTTTTAATGCTGTTTTTAATAGCACACTTTACAACATAGGATTTGACTGCTGAATTAGATCATTGGCCCTTCTGATCTAGAGATGTTAGCTATTCCTATTATTAAAGGAAAGCAAAAAACGCTAACACACTTCACCTTGCTGGTTGTTAAATGCTAAATATGGGAAAGGGATGGCATCCTGACATTTTCAGTGATCAGTTCATGCCCCCCAGTATCATAAAGATTTGATTACTTTCAGGTGAGAAACTTTATTATAGGTAAATTGTATCATGCCGCTCCTTTGCCTCATATGGTGTGACTGGGGCTATAGTATATGGCTGTTAGCTTTAAAAATTAAGCAAGAGGGTGAGGTTCAAATGAGATATGCTGAAGAGTCCTTCATGTTTGCTTATTACCTGGAAATTTATTTTATTTTGGAAGGCTCAATGATAATTTGCGACAGACATTATGCATTGCCAAAGAATAGATGCCATTCACTTGGACTCAATTTTTGAAGGAGCTTGAGTTACAGATTTGTGTGCTTCAGTACTGATAAGAATTTACACTGAAAATAAAGGCTCCTGGTTTTGCTGTTATGCTCACATGAATGATCACCATGGTTATCTGTTTGGGGCTGCTGAGAGGTGCAGGGCTTTGCCTGATGAGATTTATTTAAACGCATCTGAGTGGTGCTATCCTATAAAGTTGTTGCTCCAACCGCTACGCTCCATGTCTCATGATGCTGCTCACAGAGTGACAGGGATTGTAGCTGTGCAGCAGTGGTACACATTCTCTATCTGAGTACTTGCACATGATGGGGTCCCAACATGAGCAGAGCAGCTGTTGGCAATCTTCTTTTAAATGCCAATATACTGGGCATTTAGGCATGAATGTTTCTATTTGCATTATGCAATGTGTTCATTATGCACCACTTAGAGCTAAGTCAGCAGGCAGGAAGGGCTGTGTAACTGGATTTCAAGCCTCAACAGGGGCAGTTTACAAAAATCTCTTCTCCTTTAACTCCTGGGTTCTTGCAGGATGTACCAGAGAAATAAAAACACTTCACAGAGCCATGCCAATCTGCCTGCTATTAACACTATCCCCAAAAGGTCTTTGTTGACTAGCAACAGGTATGGTGTTATTAAAAACAGAAATGTAAGAAACATTTCCTTTGCTGCCACATAGACTTTAGCAGCAGTATGGCTAATGATAACCTTTGTTGCTACAGAAGTTGAGTTCATAAAAGATCATAAGATCATAAAATCTCATGGCTCAGGGCAAGTGCTAGTCGTCATGGCATGCAGGAATCAGAATTCTTCCCCAACAGAGGCCTAGATGCCTGCCTCTGCCTAGAGGCCAGACCTTCAACATCCATTTATTTCAGTGCTGCCTCCCCTCGTTGGATCATATCTAGCAATTGCACAACTGTTTGAGTGAACATTGGGCATTACTGCAAAAATACCGCCTGCTATTACTGGTACAGCTAAATGAGCCAGTGGTATCGTCCAGAATGACAAATGAACTCAGCTGTTCTATAGATCAGCAGTATTTGAGGAATTTATGAAAAAAATTCTTTCGATATTCTTTGCCTTCCACTGCAAACAAGACCCGGACCAGAGTTATGTAGTCAGCACTGAAATACAGAGTATTGCTGGACTAGCCCCATGTGTTTGAAGTCTGCCTTTATTAATTCAGGGGTCTCATTTCACTCTGCCTCTTATTTTGCAAAAGGATCGTTGATCTGTCCTTGCAAGACACCCTAAAGTGAAAGGACTTGAACCAGGAATTACAGGCTAAACTGTTTGACAGCTCGAGGCTGTTTTGGAGGGAAAATTATTTTTCATATCAGTGCTCAAACACTTAAATTGCAGACTAACACTGTTACTGCTTATAAAATTAGTTTTTAGAAGCTGCTTTTTAATTAGAATGGGGTGGATGCCAGTGGGTGTCGGAGAGAGTGAGTGAGTGCGTTTGCTTGGAGTTGAATTGCTAAGTGAAGAGCATGGGTCCTGGAAGAGTGCAGAGCATTTAGAAGATGCACCATGCGGAAGACTCAACAAGCAAGGCTTTTTATGTAGCTATCAGCAGGTTTCTTAATGGTTTTATAACTGTAAATGTTGTCTATGCATTACTGCATGTGGGAGTAATGAGCACTAGTTAAAAGAGGAAAATAAAAAAAAGTAAACCAAGACATTAAGTGCATTTATTGTGCTAGGTTAATAAAAACAAGAAGTGGCGTGAACTGGCAACCACCTTGAACGTTGGCACTTCGAGCAGTGCAGCCAGCTCCCTGAAGAAACAGTACATTCAGTACCTGTTCGCCTTCGAGTGCAAGATTGAGCGCGGGGAGGAGCCCCCTCCAGAAGTCTTCAGCACTGGAGATACTAAGAAACAACCTAAGATTCAGCCGCCATCTCCTGGTAAGTAGAAAAACTGCAGCCTCTTACACAACCATTTTTTAATATGCGGAAGATACTCGTTAGATTGCACTTTGTGTGTTTAGAACATCTCTTGCTCACGCAGGACCAACTAGTTGGATAAATACATTTTTGGCGTCTTGTCTGCAAACCTCAGCTAGCTCTTGGCTCGAGTCACATTTAACACTGAAGGGCTACTGACGTTATGTACCCAGTTTGTCATTGCTCTCTCATACAGACAGACATACCCGCTCAAACGTACAGAGATGTGTGCGTCAACATATGCTTAAGTGTTTGCTTCTCAACCTTACAGATTCAAAGTGATCATAGTAAGAAAGATAGCATCATGCAAGGATATGCTTGTAGCGTGTGTTAGACACGAGGCACCCAGTATTAAAAAGTGTGTCTGTTTATCTAAAGATCAGATTCTGTTGCTTGCAGTTTCATTACTGTTGCTCTGAAACTGAATATTCAGCATGGCTCTCGGGAGGTAAAACTGCTACTCAATACGGGTAAGGATGGCCGACACTGGACTAATCAGTCCAGTGGCTCTCAGATTAATGACAGTTGCTCTGATACAGTTCATTTTGAATGAGCGGCAGATGGAGAGAGCTGAGACTATGGTGTATCCTCACAACTAGGCTTGGTAGTTTAGAGACACGCTCTTTAGTCTGTGGCTGCTAATCCTGTATATCAGATTAGCTGTTAGCTTCACTGTCATTATCTTGTCTGAAAAATTGGCATTGGAGATGCTTGATTTTGGTCAGTCTCTTTGCATGTACACTGTGGTGTTTGAAACCACAGTGTTTTCTTTCCGTATTAATTTAGCTCAAGATTTGATAGTCACGATTGATATTCAATGCAGGAAAATTTTTTAAGTAGTAGTGTTTTAAGCACATATAAAAAGAGGTAACAAGTAATTTTCTATAGTGTTGACTCCTGGGCTACCTGTGGAAGAGGAAAATTCCCCTTTGATTTGCTGGTTATTAGACTTTTCTGACCAATACAATAATTTTGTTAATACCTGTCATCACAATTACTATTAGGCTGACCACCTCCTCTTATTGCCAACAGAATATCATTCCTGGAATACTTAAAGCAGTTTCCTGCATTAGAAGGCAGCATTTAATATAAGTAAAAAGTATTTAAAATAATTTAATGTCTTTTACTGCAGTTCACTAGCTGAAAACAGGAAGTAGCGAGTCAGGGATCCAGCAAGCTCTCCGGGCAGTGTACAGGCTGTAAGGCCCCAGTTTGAGAATTCTTCTCACAGATACTAGCAACTGCAAAGACCTTTATAATCACATCATACGGTTCTTGCCTTTACAAGATCATTTCTTACAGTAGTGCTTTGTCAGCAGAGTCACAGATACAGGTGCTAAGGCTTAAATCTTTCCGTTTTACGGACTAATGTATTCTGTAAGAATTTCAGGGGGGGTGTTTAGTTCAAATGTATTTTCCTAGCTACATCTCTCCGTGTAATCACTTAAATAATTCCTCTTCCTTGTTAACACTTGGGATCATCAGGAGCCCCAACACTGATTATTTATTATAGAAAATAGTTATGTTGCTTTGCAAAACCAGCTTACAAAATGGGGAAAAAACACTTAGTACTAGAAGCGAAGCCTATAATCCAAATATTTGTCTACCTAAAACAGGCACAAGGTGTCCAGAATTTGCACCACTGTTGAAATTAAAAGATGTTTGCATTTATTTGTCACCTCCGGAGAAGGCTGGTAAGGGGAGCTGAAGCTGGCAGACTTGTTAACAAGGTTGAAAGGAAATTCATCTTAAAAAAGCTAAACAGCAGTACTGAAATTGAAACAGTATTCTGCTTTTTTTTTCTCTTCTCTCTTGCACTTCCCCCTCCAACACTGTTCTCAGTAGTTCGGTTCAGGGACAATCAAAATAAATAGGCTGAATTTTGAGATGAGGAATCAGTATGTAAATGTGTAGACTTGAAACAAAGGAATGGGAAATGTGCCTTTTCACAAAGTCCTTTTGCATCATCACGCTACAGATGAAAACGACAAAGTCCGAGTTTAAATTTATTATAACGTTCAAACAAACTGTCTATGAAGAGAACTGAAACTATTTTTCTAAAATAAAAACACAGCAGGACACAGAGACTGGAAGAGGGGGAAGGAAGCAAAGATCTCAAGGTTTGTTTTGTTGGCTAGAAAAGAACTCGTGTCACTGAATGGACTGCACTTCTGTACGGAGAAAGGCTTTCCCAGTGTGTATCAGCTTTAGTACATGAAATCCCGCTGGGGTATAGATGCTGCGGAGAGTAGAAGCCTGTTCTCTTAATAGTCAGCTTTTTCCCTTGTGCCTTTTTCTTTAGCATATACGGACATTAACATTTTAACTGCACAAAGGAGGTCGAGTTGTGGATGTACTTTAGATAATCTGTTGCTCTTTGGCGTTCACATAGAACAGGAGCCCAATGCAACAAGAAACAGTAGCCTTGACAGGTCCTTACTTTAAACATTAGGGCCTCTGTTGTGCAGTCAGCTCAGTGTAGGCAGAGGCACTTTGAAGCCAAACCCATTTGCAGAGAACTAGTTACAGTGTTAGTGCCTAAGTTAATTCTGATGAAAAAGCAGGGCGACTTGTCTCAGAGAGGAGGGTATTGTATTTTATGTAATTCTAACCAGCTGATGCTATGAAGTCAGGATCATGAGAGAGTTTATAAATCAGCTGATCCTCGTAAAACTTTTAAAAATAAATGTTTAATTGCTAGTAAAAATATACAGGGATTAGAAGCCTTCCTGGTCCAGAGAAGAATTCAGTTTCTATGTAACTCCCAGGTAAATGCTACGCTTGGGGAGAACAGGCTGAAGTGCAGCTCAGAGCAGGGCAGTTGTTGCAGGTGTTCCCAATCATGGGGCAAATGGGTGGCTGGCTGTCTCACAGATGATCTTTAGAGTGTAATCATTAAGGGGATGCTAGGAAAGGCAGTATAACAACCGTAGGGAGCAGATTCCTATAGAAGAGCGCAGTTGGGGAAAGGATGTGATTTGTAAGTGAGATTTATTGGCCTATGATGCAGTGCTCTGGGCTCGTGTTGGTCCTTTTGCTTATAGCTCTGTATTTGGGACTCTCCCATCATTTCTGCTTTTTACGACATCACTCTGGTGAAGTAGATGGTGCATACAGGGGGTGCAGAGTTCAGTGCGTGTACCCTGCAATTCGGGACAGTATAGTTATAGAAAACTAGAAAAAGGAGTCAGACTAGAACAGCAAAGCGACCACCTGGTTGGCTTTGTTTGGTAGAGGTTTGCACAGTAGCCAGGGCAGGACTAACTGCCTGTTTTAACAAATGGCTTGGCTTTGTATTGCTGTTAGTTGCTCTTCCGTTCTTTCCGAAACCTCCTCGGGAGAGGTTGGGGCCTGAGTGTGTTATGGCGTGCCTTGCGCTGCTCTGGGCTGTGCAGGCTGGAGACAGGCTTGCGGAAGGCTGAGACCTTTGTTTCATAGCTTAAATCAGTCTAGCTCAGGTAATGCCTTCAGCAGCAAAGACCATATGCCTAATTACAGGCTAACTGGAAGAGTTTGTATCCAGGACCCCTGTCGGGCTTATGCCCTGGCTGTTGGGTCTGTGCCAAAGTCCATGTTAGCTGTTGACTGCTCTTTTGCTTGCACAGACATCCCCTTACAGCGAGAGGTGCTCGCTGTGGGTTCGTAAGCGTCCTTCCAGGACTGCAGCGCTTGCCAGAGGTGCATGCAAAGACGAAGGCGCTTCATGTCATATAGCCTTTTTTGACCCAAATATGCACAAATTATGTGGGAAACTGTAAGCTGAAAATAATTCTGGGCAGCCGTTGGGCTGAAGCATGAACAGGTACCAGCAACAAGTTCCAAAAAGCGTCATGGGCATGAAGGAGTTACTTTTCATTGCTGTGCTATGGCACTGCAAACTCTTTGCTGCAGTGCGCGGTTATGTCTGTATGACTCTCAAATTTACAGACTGACCGGTTTATCCTGTACTGAATGAACAGGATGGCCACGGGGGTGCAGCTGAGGATGCTCCTGAATAACTCTCAGGTGTGGGTCCTGAGGTCAGCAGAGATTTCGTTACAGCAAACCTGGGAAATTGTGCGCCGATGTTGGAAGGCGAGAGCGAGGGAGCGCCAGGAGCGTGTTCCCCGCTGGGTTTCCTTGGCAGCGGAGGCACAGGACTTGGGGGGGGGGGCCGGGACGCGGCATGCCACGCGTGCGACGCCAGGCAAG